TCTTTGTTCTTTCACTGTTATGTTACTTTGTTAATTCATTAATTTCAACAATTTTTGAATTAACGAGAACACTATCTGTATAGATACAATGCACTGGTTTGCAGTAGGAAATTCATGGGAAGAATTATATGAAGCCACAAAAGACAACAAAGTACAACTATTCCACCTAAATGACATACCACATACAGTAACACTAGAAAGCAGAATAGATCGACACGAACAAATAGGGAAAGGACAATTACCCGTATCAGTAATCAAACACGTGATAACACAAGGAAAAGACATCATAATAGAAACACCAAACCCACGGCAATGGGGAAGAGAAATTCTTAATTTAAGAAAACGATTTAAAGAATTACAGAAACTACAAGAAACACCCAACGAAAACGAAAAAATAAACCACATAAACGAAAAACAAAAAATGAAAAAACTATTACAAACAGTAACCGAAAAACTTAGTTATATACAATATATATTTAACATCAAAGAACAAAATAATGAAAAAGGACCACAGCTAGAACAACTCAGAAATAAAGGAAGAACGTATTATTAGAAACAATAATGGTTACAAAGAAAAATATCAGACCTACAACAACACCAAGAAAACTATAAACAACAACTAAACGAAATTCCTAAAATTTACCATGTAAAAAACAGAGAATCAGCATTAAAGGTAATTTTACCAAACAATGAAAAAGAATTAAATGAATGGACCATAAAACTTCATAGTAAAATTAACGAAGGAAAAGGATACGAGAAACAGTACAAACAAAAAATATATAACACCACAGAAAAAATGGGACCTTACGACGAAGAAAAAACACAGAAATGGAGAAACATATTAAGACAATTAATTGACGAGATAGAATATTACGAAATACTATTGAACAGAGTTAAAGACCACGTCATAACATTAAGAAAACAAGATCAACATCGAAAAGCTTCAATAATACAAAAATTATTCAGAAAAAGACAAGTCCAAAAATTAAGACAACAAAGGAACGAACTGGAAAAACAGAAACAAGAACTGGATACATTACGAAAATCATTAGCTAAAGCAGAAGAAAACAAACAAAAAAACCAATATGCAACATCCCAACAACTAACACCTCAAAGATAAAACCTATACGATCAATGGTTCCAACAAGAATTAGCACAATATGACAGCTCACTTCGAAGGAGAAGTAGCCGACCTGAGAGAAATGCACAATCTATTACACACTATAGACCAGGAAGGAAAACTCACCCACGAAGAAGATGCTCATATTCACCAAGAACCAAATCCCGATCACGATCAAGATCTCCAAGACAAACACGGTCCAGATCACGAACAAAATCCAGAACCAGATCAAAATCACCAATAGAAGAATGGGAAGAAATATTAGTTAAACAGTACTATGACAACGTTAAAATATTATCTGATTCATCACCAGATCCTTTAGCAATGACACCAAGACAAACATGACCCAGATCACGATCACCCGTACCAGGACCATCAAACTGGACAGCCAGAGGAAGACAACCGACTAGACAAAACAACTCAGGACAAACAACACCACGAACTAGATCATTATCAAACACTTCATCCCAAACAACAGCAAGAGTAACCGAACATGAACAATCAAGAATAATCACAGACGAAACAGACGAATTAAACGAAGACACACCACGACTATACTGGGACAGAAGTACAACTCAATAGTGGACGTATACCACAATGATTAATGGAATTCAGTTAAAAATTGGAATTGAACCACACTCAGAAAAAGATTATATGCCACTCAGAACAGCTAAACGATTAGACATCAATCTAGAAAGAATATGAGCATCATTTCAACACTTAAGAGGAGTAATGAACACAGTAAGAACACCCGATGAATCAGTAGAACTATCATTCAGAAACTTTTCAATCGAACTCAATGACTTACAAATCATTGAAGATTATGTAGATGCAACACAATGGGAACATTACGTTATACTTGGAGCAAATACTATCAAAGACATCGACTTACGATACAGTAAAGGATTCAAAGAAATAAGTATAAATAACCCCAACTATACACCACCACTAGAAACAAAAAGGCTTAAAGCAAGTTCAGAAGAACTACCCAACCTATCTCAACAAATAGACCTTTTATACATACAAAAGATTGAAGATGAACTCTCTTACTGAACAACAACGAAAAATGTTCATACAATGGGAAAAGGAACAAGAAAACGGAACACACAAAATAAATAAAATAAACGACTTAAACGCATTACCAACATTTGTATTAAACATACTTTACAATAAAAAAGTGATATTCTTATCAAAACGACACAATCATGTAAAAGTAATGGCAGGATTATACCAAACATCTGGAGGAAAAATAGACAGACAAGATCAAACAGCATATGACGCTTGTGTAAGAGAAACACTTGAAGAAACAGGAATAAAAACGCAACCTGTATACTTATTTAAAGACACCAGATATGGAAATGGATGCAATGTATACATAACATACATTGGAACAAACATACCACAGTTAAAAGAACCAGAAAAAAATACAGCATGGAAGCTAGTAACATTCAATCGATATAAGAAACTATCACAAGAAGAAAAAATGACAGGAACACATGTGAAATATCACAACAATATTATTGATAATATACAAACAAGAATTCGATAGCAATCAAAGAAAAATGCTCGACAAACAATTAACCATATACAAGAAAAAATTAACAGGTTACAACAAGAAGTAAAAGAATTACGCAAACAACAAAATAATATACAAAAAGAATTAACTAATTGGACAACAAAACCTATAACAGAAACAAATAATGAACAATGGAAAAGAATTGTAGAATCCATACCAACAACTAGTAAAATTAAAGAAATAATATTACAAAATAAACAATGTTTCAGACAACATATTAGTGAAATAGGAGTATTAAAAGGAATAAGTTATAAAATAGAAATTATAAAGGGAGCCGTACCATACAAAACACAACCATATTCAACAAACATGGATGCACAAGACGAAATTAAAAAACAAACGATAGAACTAGTAAAAAATAAATTACATGAATGATCACAATCAGAATGGCAAGCATCATGCTTAGCCATAGCAAAAAAAGCAGATCCAACATCAAACAAAGTATCATGGAAAATAGCACAAGACTACTCACCACTCAATAAAGTCACTGTATCAATGGAATATACATTTCCAAACATACAACAAGTATTAGCAAATATGAAATAATACCAATACCATACAACATTTGATATACTTTCAGGATTCTATCACATACCAATTGAAAAAGAATACAGAAAATACTTCGCATATGGAGTAGAAGGAATGGGACAATTTCAACCAACACGAATGCCCTTTGGAACAAAAAATGCACCAGCATTCTTTCAACGAACAATGGAATTCATACTAAATGATGTAATATTTGAAGATTGGATACACGTATACATAGACGACATAACAATAGGAGCCAATAACGAACAAGAAACAATCGAAAGAACGAACAAAATACTACAATTAATTAAAAAAGGAAACTTAAAAGCAAAATTATCCAAATGTCACTTCATGAAAACAAAAATTGAAATATTAGGATGGACTATAACAAATAAACAAGCAAAAATTACGCCTGGAAGAATAGAAGCAATTTCCAAATGGGAGTTCCCTGATACAAAACAAAAGGTATCCAAGATACCCACATTCTTAGGAATAGTAAATTATCTCAGTACCCACATCCCAAACACAGCACAACTCACTGAACATTTACGAAAATACCAGAAAAATCCTGAAAATGAAATACTAAAGACAAAGGCATTACAAGCTTTCGACAAGATAAAAGAAATAATAAGTCATGGTTTGCACATCAACTATTACTCTAGTAAAATTCTTCGAATTAGGTGATCAGTCTAATCTTTTACGATACATAACTATCATGAAGAATCTACAGATTTCTTAATTTGATACATCTATTCAACAGTCGTTTACTTTTTCAGGTTCACCATACATCAGGTTCCCCTTACTTTTTCTTCGGTCGTTGAGGTGTAGTCTGATTCAATATTTTCAAATATCGTTGATGTAGAATTTAGCATAGAGTTCATCACGCTCTAACTTTGTAATACATCTAATTTTACTTATTGTTTCAGAGCTACAGTAATAATTCAATTAGTTCATTTGGTTCCCCATATGGTTAGCCAGATTAAACTACTAACTTACTTTTTCAGATGTGTCCTGTACCGTTCTAGACGGTGTTACGGCCCAAATATTCTATAAAATAGTTATTTTATAAATATTTAATCACTTTTATTATATTTAACATTTTTAAT